TATTGTGCTTGTGCTTGTGTGAATGTGTTTTGTACATACATTTCTGTTCTTATTTGACGTTAGTTTTGTTGTTGCCATTCTTTGGACTAAAAATTTGGTTTTTTGCGTTCCTTTACTTTTCCTGTTACTCTCTTTTAGTGAGCGCATTTTGCTTACGCTCTGGCATTTTGACACTTTTCAGATTTTAGTCCAAAAAGATAAGGAATGAACCTACTGTGATTTCAGTTTGTATAGCCGGTTTCACGCCCCCTTTCCCATTATCTACCACTTTTCGCCATAAGTATGGTATTGATATCATAAATGGTTGTGTCAAATTTCAGGAAGTTAGCGTAAGCAGTTCCAGAGATAAGCGATATGCGAATTCCAGTTTTTATGGGAGGTGCCACGCCCCCTTTTCCAAAATCTACAAATTTTTGCCGTAAATACGGTATTGATAGCATAAATTGCTGTGTAAAATTTCAGTACGTTTGAATAAGCGGTTCCAGAGATAAGCAATATGAGAATTTCAATTTGCTAGGGCGGTGCTCCGCCCGCCATTGACAACATATCGAGCCCTAACCGCCAAAATAACGTAAGCGATATTTTTTTCAAAATTTTCTTTTTGATGCAGAAATATTCCTAGAGCTTCTAGATACATTTCTGCGTCAAAAAGGAAATTTTGAAAAAAATGTCGCTTACGTTATTTTGGAGGTTAGGGCTCGATATGTTGCTGTGTCCAACTTCAGGACGTTAGCATAAGTGGTTCCAGAGATAAGCGATATGAGAATTTCAGTTTGTGTGGGAAGTGCCACGCCCACTTTCCATGTACCTACCATTTTTCACCGTAAGTAGGTTATTTACAATCTACGCATCTGTGCTAAGTTTCAGTTCTCCAGTATAATTGGCTTTAGAGATATAGTGGTTTTCACATTTTAGTCTATATGTCAGATGCCACACCCCCTATGTACCGGGACTAACATTTCGGGATTAGAGAAAGCTATATCCCTTAAATCGGTGTATGTTTCATTGAAATCGAGCGAACCGTGCTTTCAAAAAAGGGATTGCAAAATTTTCTTGTGGCCTATTTATATATAGATACCGAACATTTCGTGTCCATTACAAACTAAATAAATTACACTTAGAAATACATAATAAGGCAGGTTCTGCACTCCACTTCCGGGTGGATTTCAATCCCTGCTAATTTGCATTCAAAGCGAATTATATTAAAATTCACTCGGAAGTGAATTGCAGAACCTGCCTCTTTATACATTTTTTCTTATCCTTGTTTTAGAATAAAGCTAAATATTTGCAACTGGCCTCACAAATACTGATAGACAAATACAGCTGCGACATTCCGGGCACCATTAAAGAATTAGAAGCATTACCCGGCGTCGGTCCCAAAATGGCGCATATATGCATGGCGACGGCATGGAACGAGGTAACAGGAATAGGCGTCGACGTGCATGTACATCGAATTACAAATCGTTTAATGTGGCTACCTAAACCTACAAAACAACCGGAACAAACCCGTGTGGCATTGGAATCATGGCTCCCGCAGGGACTGTGGCAAGAAGTTAATCATTTGCTGGTTGGTTTTGGACAAACAGTTTGCAAGGCTGTGCGACCACATTGTGTGGAATGTCTGAACCGAGAAATATGTCCAGCGTCAGAACATAAACCTGGCCCAAAGAAAAACTTAATTATCGACGATTGTAAAAATGAGATGGGCCCTAAAAAAACAAAGTTGAAAAAGTAAAAGAAATCTTAAATAACTACCGAATTGGACATGCATAAGTTGTCTACTTGTTTCTATCCTATATTGATCCAACAAATAAAATGCAATTAAACTTGTTTCAAATGCATATATTAGTTTAAAGTAAATAAGTTTTATAAATACCAATGAAAATTGAATGATCATTCCCTATGTCATATCTTAAAATAAATATGCGCGCAGTATCAATAAAAATTAAGGGACTTCAGTTTGATCATAACATCTGGTGAATACAAGGCATATCAATATGCCTTGGGTGAATATAAAAATCTTTATAAATTACTGCCCCAACTGCTGCAGTTTCATCTTCTCAGTTAGCCCTTCTATTTTTGTTTTGTTTCCTGATCAGTTACATAACGAACATAAATAACTGGATAGGGTACACTTGCTGGCCGCTCTTCATATTCGTCCATATAAGAACATCCAATGGCCAGTGTGCTGCCATCGTGACTGAAGTTTAATGACGAGATCGATGTGTCATATTGATGGAACTGGCAGAGACGCTTTTTATTGAAACCATCCCAAATATTTACCAAACAGTCTGAACCGCCCGTCGCAAATGTATTGTAAACGTTATGAAAACTTATAGCGTTTACAGGGTAAATATTTTCGATGTTATCCTCTTTGACACGATGGCACTTAAAGGCAAATTTGCGCTTTTGTACTTCTGGGTCGGGATCTAAGTATTCAACAGCAACACGTCCTTCAATAGAGGACATCACATAGCCCTCTTTATTAGGAAATAAACGTATGCAACGCGTTTGATACTTTAGCGATGATTCACGTTTCATCATATACTCTTCCATTTTACGCAAATCCCAAATGAGAACTTTGCGATCTGAGGTGGCCACTACTATTTTTTCATCATTCACTGACATGGAATACACTTTGCCGTTACTTTGTTCATATGTGCCCACACAACGCTTTTCCCGCATATCCCACAATTTAATAGTTTTATCCCAACTACCCGTTAAAATACCATTTACAGACTCTGCATATTCCACACAACGAACAGCATCATCGTGAGAACCGACTATGTTTTCAGTGTGCGTATTCACGTCGTAGAGGCGCAGTTGTTTATCCAGTGAGCCGCTTACAACATGTACAATGTCCTTAAATGAGCAACCTTTTTGTTATTGTTAAACCTTGCAAATCGCAATTTCTTACCATAAACGCAACATCCATTACGGGCATGTCCTCTGCGAACTTCGTCCGCATGGCGTTGTTTACGACATCGTAGAAACGAACTGTGCCGTCCCAAGCGGACGCAATTAGGTATTGATTAGTTTTAGGTCCAAATTTTACTGCAGATATAGCATCTTCAGGTGGATTATTTAATTTTACTTCTGTGGGACGCATTCTTTACTTGCTTTTATAGAAAATTTTAGATTTTTTGCCTAACCTGCGTCCTTTTAAAACTGAACCGGCGTCCAAGATTAGAGTAGGGATGTCCAGATACAAGTATATACGAGTACGTACTCGATACTTTTGTTTCGATACTAACTACTGTTTTTACTCGAATCGTTTCGATTCGTACTTGGTATCGAAAGAAAAGTACTTGTATCGAATCGATTTGAGCAAGTGCCATATCTTGTCAGCATCGTTTTTATGAAAAATAAATGCTGTAAGCAACGGCACCGCCAAAATCTAAAGTATGGATATATTTTTACAAAATTACTGATACCACAGCAAAGTGCAAGGAATGCTTTAAAACCGTAAAGTTTTGTGGGAACCTTTCAAAGGTTGGAATTGTTGTCTAATTAATGAATAAATATACATATCGTTACTAATGACCAAATATACATATCGACACCTTAGTGGAAGATCGATCTATCTCGGCAGCCAGTTCGAAAAAGCCGTATCTCAGAAAACTATTCAAGAATGCAGAAATTTCAGAAATTGATTGAAAAACGCCCTATCTCAGAAAACTTTTCCAAAACGCCCTATTTCATAATTAGGTTCAAAAACGTCCTATCTCAACTGTAAATATGTTGAGATAGGGCGTTTTTGACCCGAGTTATGAAATAGGGTGTTCTTGAAACATTTTCAGAGATAGGGCGTTTTTCAATATATTTCTGAAATAGGAGTTTTTGAAAAGTGTTCTGAGATAGGACGTTTTCGAACTGGCTGCCGGGATAGGTCGGTCTTCCACCCACTGTATTGTAAATACAACACAAATTGCTATTTATTTTTCGTTAATGTTCAACAAAATAATACCAATAAAAAATTAAAAGTGTTTAAAGTCATGTTTTTAGTTATTTAGTTCGACTTTGTGTGAAAAACGCATAACGAAAAAGGTATGCCACAGATTAACGCCGGAAAATCCCTTTCACTTTGTTGCATATACAAGAATGAAAAATTATCGATATAAGTAGGTATCGATACTTTCGGTTTACTCATATAAGTAGTACCGAAATAACGATTTGAGTAAACTCATTTAAGTAGGTATCGATATTTTGATGGTATCGGAACGTCCCTAGATTAGAGCCGGCGAATCCGAAATGTTTTAATCGATTGTTCAAATATCTCGATTGTTCTCGATGTTTTCTCTCGTTGACGAATTTTCACTCGAAAATACTCGTGTTTAACAATTCTTTATTGGCGCTGTAACCGCCTTAAGCCTGCTATATAGTTCAATGGGAGCGTGAGCTTTTTATTTTGACCAATATCTCCGTTATTACTTAACTTTTTGCAATAGCTGATACATCAAAAGATAGAGAATTAGAATATCTTTCAGAATTATAGGATAAAACTAATTAATAAAACATAATATGCCTTTTTTAAGGGCAAAGAATTCCATTTGTATGCTTATGGACGCTCACACACAGCTGTCAACACTTGTCGTTCACAAGCGAATGCTTTGCGTACGCACAAATGTGTGCTTGAAAAAAAGGCATATTATGTCTTTCAATTAGTTTTTATTCTATACTAGCCAATGCCCGCTTACTTCGCGGCGCCTAATAAGAGCTTTTGCGTTGGCCAATGCAAAAGAGCGTTTAAAAACAAAATTAGTCTGTAAAGTCAAAATTTTTGATTTAAGTTGAAACCACTAAGGCACAGTATCCGCCTCACATATAGGCCAATAATAGTAACGCTGTGATACCATATGGAATACCAATCCCTTTCGGTGTCATGAGCTTTACCGATGGTCTTATTTCCACCTGTGAGATCTCTGCCAGTCATGCGTAATCTTTTTGTATGATCTTGCAACTACAACATTGGTGCGATGCGTATGCCAATGAAAGTTCTTATAGGGAAACTCAAGAGCACAGAAGTGCGTTTTCTGTTATAGGAGGGCCAAGAATCCTCTCTGTCCCACAGGATGAAAAGTTTTCCGGTACATTACTAAATGAGTCGTGTGATCTCTTAAGTATCTTTCAAATGAAGCAATTGATATACCTACGGTGATCTTTCCTTGTTAATTCACCACTTACAATCCGTGGTAAAATTTATGAACTGATTTCTGGGTAGATGCAAGACCGCATGATCGTGCATGAGGACGTCAGAAAAACTTAACCCCATCCTTCATTTAGACATCTGAAAACTAAATTCGTATAACTTAAACATAGTGCCAAAGCAGACCAACCACACGGGGTTTCTATACATTTCGTCTGCAGCGCCATCCATTGGGTTCATTTTCTGCAAAACCATTATTCTTCTTCTTTTTTGGCGCTGTAACCGCCTAAGAGATTTTGGCCGAGTTCAGCAAAGCACGCCAGTCGTTTCTCCTCTGTGCCAACTGACGCCAATTGGAAACGCCAAGTGAAGCCAAGTCCTTCTCCACCTGATCTTTCCATCGCAGTGGGGGCCTCCCTCTTCCTCTGCTACCACCAGCGGGTTCCGAGTTGAATACTTTCAGAGCT